GGGAAGAAAAGATGGCCTCATCCCAGCGCTGCCCCTCCGCGGAAGGGCCCCCTCCTCCCCTCAGTGTCAATGGGGTGGGGCCTATACTCACGGTTGGGGGGCTAATGAGGGAGGGGACGGGGAGAAAGTCTAGCTGGGGCCTCTTTCCCCAGTGGGGTTTGGGTGCCAATGGCCCCGCTAAGGGCGCTTGCTACCCAGCAGCTGGTGGTACAGGTCCCGTCTATCTGCCCCCTGGACTCAGGCACTTACCCTGCTCCACCTGTTGCCAGGATCACCTCATTTCTGCGCATCACTTTGGGGTGGCCGAGGGGGAACCACAAACCCCTCCAAGCCTCTCTTTTGTGGTTCCAGCAAGGCGGTCATCCTTCATTTCTCCTTTTCCAGCTTTCGGGAAGCAGTTAGGGAATGTATGATGAAGCAGAAATGAGCCGTCAGGATGATATTTTAATGGCTTATATGTCACGTTGGTGCATGTGGCTTTGAACTGGAGCCGCTTGCGTTTCCTGCAGAGAGCGCCGCAAATCCCACTTGATAACTTCTACAACCCACAACTTTTTTTTTTTTTCCTCACATTCACTCTTACCCTGTATATTTGGAAGCGTTTCCTAAAAATACCCTCTTGTCAACGTCCCCCTTGGATTTTCCACGGACTGGAGAGAGAAGACTGACTTTTCTTTTTTGAAGAATTACTTTCCCTCTCCCCCTCCCAACAGCTACCATTCCCCCTCAGGTCCCCTCCCTTGTTTTTTTTTTTTTTTTTTTCTGAACGGCAGGCGAGGTGGGTTCAATATTTGTTCTCCCTAGTGAGAGCACTACAGCCTCTAGAGAAAACTTCTCCTTGCAAATAAGGTTTTTACAATTGCAGTGGAGGCAAGATTCAACTTCCCTTTGTAGGCAGCAGAAAAGATTGAGTGGTTTTGATATATCTTTTTGAACAAACTGTATAATAGTTTGTTTTTTGTTTTTTGGGTTTTTTTGTTTGTTTTGTTTGTTTTGTTTTGTTTTGAAAAACCACCCCTCAAGCCTTAGCCCTTTCCTTCCGTTCCCCATACCGGTTCAACTCAAAGTTGGCGGGGAATGCTGGGCTGCTATACTCAGACTTGTTGCTGGAGACAGAACATGTGATTTTTTCTTCTTTCTCAAATTTCTATTTCCCAGCACAATAAGTGCAAATGCTGGCCAGGTCCCTTCAGACACCGGGAAACCATCCCAGATACACAAGTCGAGTTTTGAGCCGCGAAAGCCCAGGGAAAGGGCAACTAAGCTCGCCAACACCAAGCGAGAATCTAGTCGATGAAAAGACCAGAAAATTAAAAAGGCAAGGAGAGGCCGACGCTGACCCTGCCTTTCTCCAGCCGGTGCGACCAGCGCCGGGGACTGGGCAAAAAAAAATATTCATTTTCATTTTCCTCTCGCCTGGGCACTGGTGAGTTTCCTAACAGGGCCGCCAGTGAAAAGATGAGTTGAGGTTTCTTTGTCTGAGAAGAGTTTAGGGCTCTGATTCAGCTGCAAAGAAGCCAAATGAAGTTAGAAACAAAGGGCAAATTGAAGGATTCCGACTCTTGGCTTTTTGTGTTTTCCTTACTAGAAAATAATTAGACCTAATGAATATGCAGACGCTTCAGCTAAACCCTCGGCCGGGGCTGTTGGGTTTTAAACAGAGCTGCGAGAAATGCAACCTTCATCCCCCAACCCCCCGCATCTGCGTGCATTTTTTGAAATGCATAAATGTTGCTCGCCTTAATTGATTGAGTCACAGGGATTTTTTTTTCCTGCTTTTAAGTGCCATACTCCTCTACCTTTCAACAATCATTTTAATATATAGTCAATGGCTCTTTGTGGACAGGACAAAAAGCAACTACGCGCAGTTGTTGAATAGACTTTGCGCTGGGCAAAGACAGGTTAATCGAGGGCCGCATCGCGAAAACAAGCGAGTGTTGTATGTTTGCACTGAATCCAAATGTCTGCATTTTCCTAACTAAATCAAAGGGAGTGTTATTTCTTTTTCTGCTCACTCATCTGAAGGTAAGTAAATTTTCTCTGGCGATCAAAAGCCTGGTCGGCAACAAAGACCGCGCCCGCTTTTTCCACCGTCCTGGTGTGGCGAGTTGCGGAATTTCAATAACTGTGACAAGGGTGACTGATTTGTGAACCAGAAAAGGTTTGAATGTCACAAAATTTACATTGGTCCTATCTATCGGGGATTTAAATACCAAAAAAGTATTCGGGGATTTCTAGAGAGCTTTGGGCAGTACTGAAGAACAATGGCGCGTTGGGAAATTTACAGTTTTACCTGAATGAAAGGGGCCTTGGTTGGGAACAGGAGTGCAGAGGGAGGGGGTTAGCGGGGGCAGACCAGGGAGACTAGGGAAAAGGAAGAAAAAAGAAGAATAACACTGGAGAGGAAGAAAAAAAACCCCACAACTCGGCAACAATGTTTCCAATTTGCCACACACACACAAAAATGCCACCTCAACAACCTGGACAGTTAAGAGCTCTCTTCCACCTGTGCTTATTTTTTTTTGGCGGGGGGGGGGGAGGGGAGCGCAGGAAGCCTAATCGATTTGATAAAGATGAGAAAATCGAGGCAACAGATTACCCTGAGAAATCACATTTCTTATAAATAGATAGCCGAGTGCCCGTGTTCTACCGAGATCTTAAATTATGAACAGGAGGGGGACAAGGCAAGAGGGAAGCAAACTTCAAAAGGAGCAAATAACAAAAGCCTCCTTTGCTGCCCTTGAAGGGGTTGGGGAGGAGAGGAGAGAAGAAAGAAAAGAAAGTTGCTGAATCGGGACATTCTGGAAGTGCCTGTGTTTACCAGCCCCATCCCCACCTCCTACTCTCGGAGAAGCCCCAAGTAGCTAAATCGCTCAGCTAAAAGCAGGTCTGAAGAAGGACAAGATAGAGAAAAAAAGAGAGATGATAGAAATAGTGAGAGGGAGTGGGAGAGGGAGAGGGAATGGGAGAGAGAGAGAGGGATAAAAAGAGAGAAAGAGTGTATATGACTGCGAGAAGGAAAAGGAATCGTGGCAAAACAATTTTTCCATGAGAAGAGGGAAAAAATTTGGCTAAAAAAAAAAAGTTGCTACTCCTGGCAGCCCTGTTTGTCAAAAGGGGATGTCAAGCGCTTTACAATACCTGGGATTGATGAGGCGGGCGGGCCAATGAACGGCGCGCGGCGCCTCGGCGCGCCCTCCGTTGGCGCGGCGGCTGCAGGCGGGGGGAGTGCGGGCACACCAATGGGCGCCCGCGTCAGCAGCACGTGACACCTCCCCCTGCTCCCATTCATCAAGGGGGGGACGGTGTCGTCCTTTCAATTCATTTATCTGCAGGAATGATTGCTGCTATCAGTCTCGCGCTCACCGCCCGGCTGAGGAGGTGAAAGTTTCTCCCCAGGAAGATAAACCGCAAAAGACAATATTGTGCATGATTTGCGCCTTTTCTTTGGCTTTTTCTTTCTTTCTTTTTTCTCCCCCACCTTTTTTTTTTTTTTTCGCAAAAAGCAGAGGGGGAAAAAGGAGAGTGAAGGAGCGAGAAGGCGAGCCTGAGAGAAAGGAGAGAGAGAGAAAAGAAAGGGCGAGGGGCTAGTGGAGAAATAAGGAGGGGCATACGGCGCGAGGCGGAGAAAGGGCGAGTAGTCGTGGCTTCGGCGCTCACATTCCTCTATGCTACAAATCCGGGAGGAAGTTTTTTTTGGGGGGGCTGAGATGCTCCATGCCTTTCCCTGGGCAGCCTTGACGCAGGGTCCTCTCGGCAGAGACTGAGCGGCGAGAAAGTGCGAGCCCGGCCGGCGGGGTCTTCTTGGCGGGCGCCGGAGCCCGCCTTGCTTGCGGCCCGGAGCCGTCCGGCTTCCCCGCGCTTGGCCAGGTGGGCGTCCCGGCGCGTTGCGCCGCTGCCTGCAGGCTAGGACTTCGCGAGGTGGGTCGACTCCTCCTCCCTCCTCTTCTTCTTCTTCCTCTTCCTCCGCCTCCCGTTCCTCCTCCTCCTCCTCCTGATTTTCCCTCCTCGGCGGGCGAGGGTGGGGGGGGCGGGGGAGGCCGGGGCTCGCCCCGAGCAGCCACGATGCTCCTGGACGCCGGCCCCCAGTACCCCACGATCGGCGTGACCACCTTTGGCGCGTCCCGCCACCACTCGGCGGGCGACGTGGCCGAGCGCGACGTGGGCCTGGGCATCAACCCGTTCGCCGACGGCATGGGCGCCTTCAAGCTCAACCCCAGCTCTCACGAGCTGGCCTCCGCCGGCCAGACGGCCTTCACGTCGCAGGCGCCCGGCTACGCGGCTGCCGCGGCCCTGGGCCATCACCACCACCCGGGCCACGTCGGCTCCTATTCGAGCGCAGCTTTCAACTCCACGCGGGACTTTCTGTTCCGCAACCGGGGCTTTGGCGACGCGGCAGCGGCAGCCAGCGCTCAGCACAGTCTGTTCGCTGCTTCAGCCGGAGGCTTCGGGGGCCCACACGGTCACACGGACGCCGCGGGCCACCTCCTCTTCCCTGGCCTTCACGAGCAGGCGGCGGGCCACGCGTCGCCCAACGTGGTAAACGGGCAGATGAGGCTTGGCTTCTCCGGGGACATGTACCCGCGGCCAGAACAGTACGGCCAGGTGACCAGCCCGCGTTCGGAGCATTATGCCGCGCCGCAGCTGCACGGTTATGGGCCCATGAACGTGAACATGGCCGCGCATCACGGCGCTGGCGCCTTCTTCCGTTACATGCGCCAACCCATCAAGCAGGAGCTCATCTGCAAGTGGATCGAGCCCGAGCAGCTGGCCAACCCCAAAAAGTCGTGCAACAAAACTTTCAGCACCATGCACGAGCTGGTCACGCACGTCACCGTGGAGCACGTCGGCGGGCCTGAGCAGAGTAACCACATCTGCTTTTGGGAGGAGTGTCCGCGCGAGGGCAAGCCCTTCAAAGCCAAATACAAACTGGTCAACCACATCCGCGTGCACACGGGCGAGAAGCCCTTCCCCTGCCCCTTTCCTGGCTGCGGCAAGGTCTTCGCGCGTTCTGAGAACTTAAAGATCCACAAAAGGACGCACACAGGTACGAAACCGCTGTTCTTGAACCCCCACCCCTCCATCCTGGGCCTGGGACCCGAAATCCAAAAGTCAGTGGCCGGGGCGCACAAACCCGGCCGCGGTTGGGTCTGGGCGTCAGGTTCCAGCAGGCAGGCAGTGGAAGTGTGCGCTGGTGTTTAGTTTGAGGCTTGATATTATGAAGAGGTATAGAGAGGACTGGCCAAGAGGTATCTAGGAATTTAGATTTTTAAATGAGGACTAAAAAAGGCTGGGAGAGCAGAGAGACAAACCCAGCTTTGTGGAGCCCTTGGTGTACGCGAAGCCAGGAGAGGTGGCCGATTCTCCGCGGTGGCGGAGGCGCCAGCAAGTCCAGCTGCAGACAAATCTAAACATTTGCTTCCGGCTAACATCTTTCTCTAGACACCTTAGTGAAGATGTTGTCAAAAGAAGGAGCTAAGGAAATTGGAGGAGATAGGATGGAGGCGCCAAGAAAGAAACAAAAACTGAAAGGGTGGGGGGGAGTATTGAAAGCAGGAAAGTTGGGCCTGAGGAGGCTTTTGAAGGCTTATGCATATTTAAAGAGCCCAGTTTTAGTAGTGACTTGTATTTGAGTAAGCTTAAAGAGTTGGGAGAGTCGACAGAAGGCGGAGAAGTCTTTTTTGTCAATTAGATTTTATGAGAGAGTTTTCAAAACACCGAATACCCTGCGTTAGCCTTTAAAAATGAAGAGACTGGCCAGGAACAGTTAAAAGAAAAGTTCGCGGCGAGCTCAAGCCTGTGGTCTGAGTCAGGCAGGCCATTCCGGGCCCCTAGCGCCAACAAGGCCGGGAATCCTGTCTGCTTCCCTATTCTGGTTTGCCTGGGTGATTTCTGTGAACCGCGTTTGGAACTTGGGGTTTAATGCCAGAGTGAAGAAAGAATTTGCGGCGCCGAGCTCTCGGCCCAGATTACCTTATAAAATGTGAGTGTGTGTAGGGGGTGGGGTGGGGTGGAGGAGGCGACGAGGGGGGTGCGGAGCGTCGGGGAGGGGGTAGGGGGAGGAGAGAAGAGCAACACAGCAGGAGAATCTGCTGGCAGTGTGAAAATTAGAAAGCAAGAACTAGGTAGGAGCCGCCCGAAGTCGTCTGTATAGCCCCGGGCAGAAAAACCAGCAGCCAGACCTGCTGCCAGTCTGGGCTCTAGAAAAACTACCACCACTGATAATAATAATAAAAAAAATTAAATCTGGATCTAATTGGATTAGAAGTTAAAATAGTTCAGATATTTATAATTCCCCTGCAGATATAAGACTTTGTTAAAGACTCGGGTTTTTTTAACTTGGAAGGTACTAACACAGAGCTGTTGCCTTTTTATTTTGTTTTGATTTTTATCATTGTTTAAAATTTTAAAAACAGCCGCAGGATTTGTTGCAATCAGACTTCTCTCTTGCCTTTCGCACCAGGGGAGAAGCCCTTCAAGTGCGAGTTCGAAGGCTGCGACCGACGCTTTGCCAATAGCAGCGACCGCAAGAAGCACATGCACGTGCACACGAGCGACAAGCCCTATCTTTGCAAGATGTGCGACAAGTCCTACACGCACCCCAGCTCACTGCGCAAACACATGAAGGTAATCGCCGCGCTCTCGCTGGCCGCCCTTGAGCCCGGACCCCCTCCGCTCTTCGGCCGGGCTGGGCTGTGAGTGACAGCCGGGTGGTGGAAGGAACTGGCGAAGGCAGAAAGCCAACGGTTCCGCTTTGCTGAGTGCGGCTGGGCAGGGAGGGTGGGAGCTGGAAAGGGAAATGAGGGCACCCTAAGTTTACTGTTTAATAATAAAGTTAAAAGAAGGGAGCACGCGACCGGAATTTGGCCCAGGTAGGGAGCTAGCTAGGGCTGTACCAGCGGGTTGACTGTGCCGAAGCTGCCGCCATTGTAGCTGGCAGCGTTGGCAGGAGTGTGGGGCTCTTGCACACAGGCCTGAGCGTTTGCTTACCTAAATCTGAGCAAGCAAAGTACAACGGCTGCAGGAGGGACCATCGCAGGCTCCTGCCTCAAATCCAGCCTCCCCCTTCCTAGATCTGTTTTTCTTTTGTGGGTCCCGGGGGGCGCTGTCCCTCCCTGGAGCACTGCCTTTGCAGGGCGGAGGCGGGCAGCCAAGCCTAAGTCCGGCGGGTCAGGCCTCCCATGAGTTCAAGGGGATTCAGCGCTGTGTGGGGAGGCGGCACGCGGCCTTCACCCGTCCTAGGCGGCCGCCGCGCGGGCTCTTTATCTCCGTAAAAACGCGACTTTATTCCCGCAGGTCCACGAATCCTCCTCGCAGGGCTCGCAGCCTTCGCCCGCCGCCAGCTCCGGCTACGAGTCCTCCACGCCGCCCACCATCGTGTCTCCCTCCACAGAAAACCCGACCGCCAGCTCCCTGTCGCCCTCCTCCTCTGCAGTCCACCATACAGCCGGCCACAGCGCGCTCTCTTCCAATTTTAATGAATGGTACGTTTAAAATCAGAAACAAAACACCGAACAAAACCGTATTTAAGAGACTGAACACACACGTACACAAAATATTACTGAATGAACCCTGCGAATCAACACAGCCTCCTACCCCCCACCCCCCCGCCCCAGACACCGCAGTCCTATTTTTTTTTTAAACCTGCCAATAGACCCAGGACCGAGTAAGAGAAAGAAAGCCCCAAACCTTTAATTTTTTTCCTTTTTTCTTTCTTTCTTTCTTTCTTTCTTTCTTTTCTTTCTTTCTTTCTTTCCTTTTTTTTTTTTTTTGGCAAAGGTTTGGTAGCCATGGGGCGGGAGGGTGGTCGAGGAGAAGGCGGCCGCCTGACCGAGTGCTGCCAACCCCAACCGAGGGCCAGTTTCTCGTCGGAATCGAACAGGCCCTCTGGGCTTCCGTTTTGTTTGTTTGTTTTTGTTTTACTTTGCATTCTTGTAAATACAGAATTATTAGCTTAAAACTGTACTGTTGGATTCTGTAAATAGTTATATCTCGGTTGGAGCGGGCGGGTGGGTTCGTGGCGTTGTGGTCTTTGCATTGGGGGAGGGGCCGGGCGGGCGGGGGAGAGGGAAGGGAGGGGGGTGGGCGGCCGAAAGCCAACTGTTTGTACTGAATGGGAAGAATGTTCTAGTAAATGTGTACCAAAATGTGAATTACTTTGTACGATTACAGTCTCCACGTCGACCTAACAGAATATTATTGGTATTAATGTGCTTTTTTTTTTTTTTTTTTTTGTATAAAGTGCAAACATTTCTCGTCCCAAAGTCTAAGTACTTTAGTGCAGTAAAATGTTGTTTCATGTCCTGTCAAGAATTCGTATAGTACGAGCCTGGATCTGCGTGTCAAACTGTTCCATTTGTTTATGTAAAGTGATATTAAAGAAGATATAAACTATAACTGTCCGTTGCTTTTGGCAAAAGATAAAACCACATAATGTATATAATTCCTAGTTTCCATATTTATCCGCATGTAAAGGGCCGGTTTATTCATGTTACAGCTATTCAATATTTATGGCTAGAAAAACTCGTATGTACACTTTAGTTTCGAGAACTGTTTGGTAACCTTTCGTACCTTATTAAAAGATTCTTAAATCTCAGTGATTGTGGTAGGAATTTCTTCTTCACCCCCAGCAACCTGCTGCCTCTTCGGCCAGCTTTAGTGGGTCTCTAGAAAAGCTTTCCAGTCTCCCTCGCCTTCCCTTTCTGTCATCGCAGGTCGTATAAACGTGATAAATGAACGCTACCCTGCTGGCTCTCCGAGAGGGTGTAATTAGTATTTATATCAAAATTTATGAAACAAATTTTCGGCCGCTATATAATTTAAATGACCTTTGCAGACGTACAATAACAACCATAAAAATAACAGAAATAGATTGCACAGGCGACATCAATATTAATGTAGGTAAATTGTCAGAAGCTCAGGGGCTCACTCTGCAGTGTTGCAAGTGAACTTGAAGCAGAGGGTTCCGCTGCCCCCCAAATTAAATTCCCCTGGCTGAAACCGAGTTGCAGATTTACAATATCATATTTTAAATTGCTGTCTTCAATTAAATCATTTATGGCCATAACTAATTTTCAGGATGTTGATGCATGGTTTTACAGACCTTCCTTCTTTGTACAAAAGTAAACGCCCATAAAGCGTTTTACTTATATTTCTTCAAACGTGATGCTAATTTAAATTAATTACTTCCTATGATATGTTATTATTCCTATAATTTTGCCACTGTTATTAGTTCTTTCAAAAATACATCTAGGGAAGAGAATTATTTTATGTAATTTGATTATCTTTCTATCTCTTTTATTTATTTCTCATTTACTTAAGAAATTCGTTCCATTGGCTGGCGTTGATACAGTAAATTTGTAAATGAGGAGACAATATAAAAAATCTAAATTACTTGTGCTTAATGACTGTAGCAGAACTCCTTTTCTCTAAATCAGATTGTCTTTCTTGCAGTTTAGTTTGATAGATTTGCAAGCTATGCTGCTCCTTCGAAGTTAGCTGCGCTGGTAGGAACGCGAGCTTCTTTGTCTCTGGTTGTAGCTTGCATGATCGCCCCATTAAGCAGACAACGTAGGGGAGATCACAAATCAGGGCCTTGGCTGTAGCTGCAAGGGTGTGGATGTGTCAGAGCAGGAGGCAGAAACTGACCTCAGTGTGGCCAAGGACGAACCTGGACCTGCTTTTTTAACATACTATGTGTGTTCAGGAAATCATAGGCCATATTGACTCTGAGAAGAAAAGTAAGAGAGGGAAAACCCTGCAAAAGTATGAACCCCTTAAGATATTGACATCTATTTCAAAGAGACATTAATTTTTCAGAGTATATCATTGACCAATTACAAAATCAAAATGTTAAATTCTCTTTAAAAATCCTTTGTTGACATGTCTTCATCTCTTGCCATTTGTATTTGTCACTTTTGGCCAACAAAGTTTTATTGGTAAAGGAGGGGATTTGCTGCAGTTTATGTAACACATAAAAAACTGGAGATGGTGGTGTTTAACTTTTTAAAAAATACTATTGTGATTATAAGAGTAAATATTAACCTTTCATGAAAAGAGCGCCACCTTGCAAGGTTTGGCGAGATTTAAGGAAGTTGAACACCTAAACGAGAAATGCTGCTAGCTCCTAAAATTTGTGAGACCAAAAGCTGTCCCCAATTGTCTTTGGAGGTTTCAGATTGATTAATAGTGTAGTATTTGACATGACACTAGACATTAGGCCCAATAATTAAAAAAAAAAAGAAAGGAATAAAGATAGTTCCATCTCTCTAGGAAAGAAAGATAAATACCTCAATTAATAATCCTTCCCCTTCCCATAGAGATCAGAATGTCTGGGATCCTGACATGAGTATTTATGACAATAATAATCATAATAATAACAACAGTATTTTTCAACTTTGTTAGTACATCTAAGAAGACAGTAAATGAGTGCATTTTTTTCTTTGTCCATTCTTAAAAGCAGTTTACTTCAAATTTGGAAATATAAATGTGTCATTATTTGTTATGTTTCTGGTGATTTTTTAACTTTAATATCATTGTATATAATTAAATATACTATGATCTATGATTTAAGTAGGATATTTTAAATATAAATTTTAGGGGTAAATATTTACTTCAAAACTATTTCACATTTAAAACATTTTTTTATTTTGGCTTTGAAGCCAAATAATTTTTTAAAAAACCATTTGAGGAATACTGTGTGTGTTTGTGAATAATCTCACTCACAGGAAAGGAATTTTTACAGTAGAAGCCAGTATTTATGCCAATGCCCCTTATGCATTCTCTTCTCCAACACCCACCACAAAGAAAAAGTCATTAATGATGTAGGTCGCTTAAAATAATGCTTCAAACTTAAATGTAGTCTATTATTTTGCTGGTACCTTGAATGTCTGCTTCTTGAGATGTATTCTTCATACTTTTCTTCATGGGCTATTAGGTTTTGAAATACATGAATGTGAACAGCGAGATATATTGTTAGACCCTATTTAGCAGGAGCTGAATATGCTGCAAATGGCTGGTTTCTGTGTGTAGCTGTGGATTTTGGTTTAGGCAGACAGCCATCCTGATTTATATTTCCACTGCATTATATTCTGGATACTATCAAGTGATTAGAACAACTGACAAGTTATTAAAAAGTTATATTGTATCAACAAAAAATGCCTAAGTACAAGCAATCATATTTGAGAAATGAAGAGAAATGAGTTGTGATATGTGTGTGTGTACATTTACAGAGTAAGCATATAAATATACAAGCACCATTTATATGGGGGTTAAGTAATTTTCAAACATTTCAGATCCTTTGTTTTCTTCTTCAAAAGCTACCCCCAACTGCTTTAAGCATTTGCAGCTGATGATTTTGATTTTTTAAAGTCAAGCATTCAGGTTAACCTTTAAGAAGCAAACCACCTCCAAAAGAAAGATGTAACCTTTCAATTGGCCCATATGCTTATCATTTTTTTTTTTTTTTTTTTTTTTTTTTTGCTTTAGCTGACAATGAAAATAGCACTAACCTTCTTTGGTGATGGGCCTGGCATTTAGATGTTTTTATTTGTTGATTGTGAAGTTTTCTCAGAACTTTTAAAGGACTGGCAACAGAACTACACTCCCCAGCTCTGAAACCTTCCAGACATCCCCTTTTTGAGGCCAAGATACAGTAAGTGTGTTGGACCCCTTGTGAATCAGTGCTGGTGTAGTTAGTACCTGAACATACTTCTTTCCAGGAGGCGGCTTGGAGAAGGTCCTGGTCCTTAAAGAGCAGCATTAGTTTAAGATGGGTTGGGGAGTAACTGTATATGGTCTGGCAAACTCCAAAGGAAGACACTGAGCTTGTGCTTTTGATACTTGTGAACTATATATGAAACCATCAGATTTCAGACATTCCCAATTCACATTTCTTTTTTTTTTTTTAACATGAAATACTAATTACGAATTTATTTCCTCCTTTCTAGGTACAGAGTTCTCGCCTCCTTTTAGTATCAGTGTAGTTCTTAGAACTGTGTGTTCATATTAGGAAAAAAAAAGTGTTTTCATGAAGATGGTCACAGTTGATATCACTCTCTGGTTTTAGAATTCTTGAAAATAGAGTGGCAATGAAAAGATGTATCCCATCTATGCCAGTTAACCACTAAAGGTTCACATTACCCATGATACTCCCAGCTATTTACAACCTCAGTCACCATCAGTAATATGTACTCATTCAAACTGGTTACATATAGAAAGTAATGCTTTATAAGGGTAACTATACAGCAATCTTTTTTTTTTTTTTTTTTTCAAGTGACAGTCACTGGTTTGGGGGAAGAAATAAGAAACAAGTTAATAACTTCCTATGACATGTCACATTTGAGTCTTTTCTTAAAAGTTTTTGCAAATATAACGGTATAATATATACAGAGAATGGGTAATATTCTCCATTAACCTTTGCAAGACTGGTTGCTCCAGAGTCTCTCCTTGAGCAAGAGGAAACAAGATCAAGCCAAAACAGGGACTATTTTTACCATGCAAGCTGAATTCTGGCATTAGTTCCTAACGTTTATTTCCACTTTAGAGCAAGGAGCTAGAACAGTATGATGCTATTCCAATTGATGCTATAACGGAAGTGGGTTTTTT